TGGATTGTTCTTACAGAATTGCTTGCTTCAAGGAGTTTTTTTTTTTTGAGCCTTAATCCTTAAGTGATTCTTCCAAGATAATAATGTGTTTGTCCTGCTTCCCGAAATGGTTCAAGGCACCTCAAGACATTGTTACCTGAGGTTCTGATTCAGTTGGCCACAGGTGGGATGGGCCATCAGCTTCTTTTGAACTTCATGGGAGAGTATAGCATGTAGCCCGCACTGAGAGCCTTGAGTCTTCCTACTTATTCTCTTTTGTTCTCACAAAAACCCCTTGAGGTAGTCCCTGGGTCAGGTAATGTCTCCTCCACGAGATAAGAAACTAAGGCACAGGGAGGTTATTTGGCTCGTGTGACATCGTGAGGTCAAATGACAGAGCCATGAGTGGAATCCACATCTCCAAACAACCCCTCCTTCCCAGTGATGGGCAGCACTTACACCGACTGACCACAAAGACTGCTGGGGGCCAGGCACGACCATCTGTGCCAATGACAGCACGGAACGGTGCGAAACAGTTCAGAGCCAACCTTCCTATGTGGTGGAAAGTAAGCGCATAAAATAGTTGAAGCTATGTGAGGAATGAACTCAAGCCTTCCCACTTGGTAATACCTCACTTCCCTTATGCAGATGTTGTGGATTCATTCAGGTTTATTACAAGACCTGTCAGGATTCATAAAGGCTTACTGACATCTGCCTTTTCAGCTCCGTCACCATAACAGCTGAACACTCTTGAATGCCCCTGTGAATTGGGCCCAAGAACACACATGCACCTCTCTGCTTTCTCCATTACTGGCCCACCTAGACTAGCCACGGACCCAGTACCCTCCACCCTCTAAGTGAGCGTGCACCCTGCCTTCCCAGAGATTCCCCAGCCCTGGCCCATAGCTGTGCTGGGCCTCAAGAACTGACTTAATATGGAATGTTTGACTTTGCTCTTGGTGCCAACTTCGTTACCCAGATAGAGGGTAAAGCATGGCCCGTTTGCCCTCTAACTCCAGATCCCAGTGAGTTGGGACTTTCCTCGCTTCAGTACAACACATTCCCATCTTCTACCCACTGACGCACGTAATCGATAACCTCACTGTTCCTTTCCTCACCCTAAGTCTCCACACCTCGCTCCACCTGAGGGAGAGGTGCGTTCCCAGCTCTTCTGTAGGAGTTTCACTCGACTGCAGAACACACCAAGGAGACTTGAATGGAGAAGCACACGTGTAAGACTGTGGCTCCAGGACACTCTTCAGAAGAGCCTGGTTACATGCTCACACCGAACACGCATGGCGTCTTCCCACTGCCATGGAAGCTGGCTCCCCAGAAGCCTATAAAATACAAATGGATCCACGACACGGAAACCACATCTCATGGTACACTCTTGTTGACACTTACAAGAAGCTGTGCAGAGCTCCCAAAATACTTCTTCCTCACTCATGCAGGACACAGCCTCACTCAGAGGGCATTGCTCCTGTTACCTATGTGCATAAGCAGACAGGGCCCTTCCTGGAATGGAACCTGGCCCCCTGGCTCCCTTGGAAGGCCCTTGGAGCCTAGGAGGACAGACACAGGGAGAGCTATGATGTGAGGAGGAGGATGGGGAATGGGAGATTTCCTTCCCCTTCCCCGACTCCCAGAGAGGACTGTTACAGAGATGAGGGAGTATGGGGCAAAGGAAAGAGAAACTGCAAAGCTGCATTCAGAATTCTGGTTAAATGAAAGCAAACTGAGACTCATGATGCTTCAGAGACTCCCGCCCACCCACCCACCTCATTAGGTTAAAATATCATGTTTTTTTTCTTCTTTCTCTCTCATGCTTATTTGATGCTTGCAGATTCTTCAGGCCTGCTGCTTTTGTTTCTAAAACATGCGGTGAGCAGCATACACTGTTTAATGCCCGCAGGACCCCTGGCAGGTACTCACCCGTAGCCCGCCAGGAAGGTGACAAGCAAGGGACCTTCACTGACAGTCCAGTGCACAGCATGGACTGTGCTGCATGCTTGCCCAGAGTTTAGCAGGAGAGTGTCGCAGAGGGGATGTGCAGGGAGCATGTGGCGACCTCCAAAATGCTCCAAGGTCCAGTCTGCGTCCAGGGAGGCTGCGCTGGACACAGAGCTAAGGCACTAAAGCTGCAGTCTGTGGGAACACACCACCCAGAGGTCCCTGGGGAGGAGGAGCCCTGCTCCCGGTACCACCCAAGACCAGGAACTGCTCAAGGGATCAGATCACGCCATATCCAAATCCCCGGCTCTGGCCCTTTAGAGAAGCGTTCGGTTCTCCCTCTCAGTCGCTTGCTTCAGCTTCCCAAGGTCTCCACGGCACTGAAGACGGCGCCACTGCTCCCCCACAGCTGCCTTCTCTTCGCACACTCTACCTGTACATCCGTTCCCCAACATGCTTGATAAGGAGCAGTCCAGGAATCTCACGTTCCTCCGGAGCAGGGCCCCACACACTTCCCAAGGCGGCTCTGTACCTCCAGGTCCTTCACAGCTTGACGAACGCCGCTGGCTGTGGCACCTGCTCCGTGTCCGGGGGTGGGAAGACACTGGATATGGCTATGTCCACGATGCCCTGGCACAGTTCTGCATAGAGCTTCCTGAAACGGGGTTTTAAAGATGTCACTGAGGGTGTTCATCAAAGTGCAAGAGAAAAATCAAAGCTGGGTATGGGGTGTGCATGTGTGTCCATCACGTGAACACCTTTGTAAAACTTGTCTCTGTAAATAAAGTACCCACAAGAGTCTCTGCTCACAGATAAAACATGTAAGGCAGTATTTAAGTAGTTTTAAAATGGCCTTAGAGAAGGCGATTTCAGCATATCATGAGCCTACCTCACCTGTCTGTGAGGCTGGAGGAGCAGGCATCAGCCAGGAAAATCACCACCTTCTAAGGGAAAAGGGACACTAGCAAAGACTTGACGGGTTGACAGTTAAGATGGGACCCAGGAAACAGGAAGCAGTAGACAAAGGATGATGACAGCTCAGAAAAGCAGAGAAAGGAGAAGGGAAAGAGGCAGAGACTCTGGAGAAAGGGGAGGCGGCTGTGTGAGTGTGCGTGTTGGATGTGAAAGGGAAACATGAAGAAAACACTAGCCTAGCCTGACAAGACAGAAGAACTCAAGGTCTAGAGGAGAAACAAAACTTGAAAGTGGAGCAGCGTGTTGTGGACTGTCCGAGGCACAAGGCAGTGGCCTCAACCATCCCCAGGGACAACAAAATCCACCTCCTGAGTGTCCTCTCTTGTGGCTCTAGTCAGCAAACCGGAGCTTTCACTCCAGTGTGGCTTGACCTCTAACATCCACAGGCACAAAGCAGAGGGCAAAGGAGGGAATCTCCCATCTCTCCAAGCAGTGGGGGCTGTGTCGGGTTCCCCTGCAGGACTCCATGGGCAGCAGGAATCCCCAGAGCCAGCTGCTTGGGACTGACCCTTGGAACAGGCAGAAGCCAGAGATGTGAGGAAACACATCTGGATGAGACTTGGACTCATGTGCCCACAATTTGTTCAGGAGGTGGCAGGAACCCCGGTAACCAGATCTGAGGACAGGAGTCCAGGCCAGCCTGCCTAGCCCCAAGGTCTTAACCATTCTAATTCTGTGTGCCTACTCCCACCAGCTAGGGGCTAGGAGGAGCTCCTCTTATACCATTTCCCATCCCTGTTGCACAAAGACATGTCCACCCAGCAGCCTCTCCCATCACATCCTCTAGGCTGCTAGGTCAGTTACAAGGCCACTGGGAAGCCATGTTCCAGTTCGGAAGTCCTAACTGCTGGCTGAACTTCATCTGTCCTGCTTTTCCTCTCTCTCTCCATTCCCCAACTCCCTTGCCCTCCCCTGACTCTCCAGCCCCACCCCTTCTGTTTACACAATCAAGTCCCATTTTTAACAGCCAAATCATTCACGCTTGAACTTCTGAAGGGACAGAGACATGGATGTCCTTCAGTGAAGGATGTCAGCTCACTCAGAACCACGGCTATAAAAAATAGGCCGTGTGCATGAATTACTACCATGAGCTTCTCCCACGAGGAGCGCTGGGACAAGAAAATGATATACAGACCAGTTTCGGGGTGGCCAGGCCAACTCGCCTCCTCATCACTGGTGACACAGAAAGACTCAGTGTGGCACAGGTGTCTCACGCCACCAGGCATACATCACGGAAAGCCCGATGCTACGGTGTCCACACATAAACCACGTAGCTAAAAGAATCTGGCTTAGCAAGTAAAGTTGGGCCTAATGTAAAGAAATCTTTTACACTCAGGCACTGCAGTTGCTGGCTAGGCACTATAGCTAGGCACTATAAAGACATCTCTACTTTAAAAATACCCGAGCCATCGCAAATCAGGTGAGCGCTGGGCTGATGAGATGGCTCAGTGGGAAAAGGCACTTGTGGCGTAAGTATGACAACCTGAGTTCGGTTCCCAAAGCCCACGTAAAGGCAGGAGAGAACTGACTCCACAAGGTCGCCCTCTGACCTTCGTACCCATGCTGCACCTACACAAACATACATGCAATAATAGAAAGAAAGAAAGAAAGAAAGAAAGAAAGAAAGAAAGAAGAAAGAAAGAAAAGAAAAAGAAAGGAAGGAAGGAAGGAAGGAAGGAAGGAAGGAAGGAAGGAAGGAAGGAAGGAAGGAAGGAAGGAAGAAATCAGGTTAGTGAAGACAGTTTGCTCATTCACAGACTATGTATAGAGAACTATGTGGCCAGCACAAGATTCAAAAGCCACCAAGAAAAACAAGGGTGGAGACATCATGGTGTGAACATTCCTCGAAGGAGACAAAAATGAGTTGTTTGATAGCAACGGATGCAGTGAATAGGGAAAATGGAAGCTCATTAAGGGAAGGCTTCGTGGAGGGGCCAGGGTTCCACAGGAAGGTCACGGAGCGCACAAAGACCACACCGTGGGTAAGAGCTTTCGGGGGTGGGGGGAATGGCATCTCTGGTTGAACTGCAGAGACAGGCGAGACAGATGCCTCACAGGTGGAGGGTGTGTGTGGCTTCTATTTCCTCACTCAGGCTCCCTGGGAAGGAACAGTACAGAAATAGAAATTCTGGTACGGAGGCTCTTTGCAGAAGTCCTCCAGGGAGAGAGGGTAACTGGCAGAAAGGACTGAAGAGCAAGGAAACCAGAGGGAGTCCACAGGACCTCTGGACTGAGCTGATGGGAGCAGAAAGCAGGCTCTCTGTCGGTCCCTGAAGAGGGAGACGGTGGGCCCTCATTCTCCTCGCCATGGGGGAGTCTGGAGAGGAGGACAAGGGGCTGGGTGCTTCTCATCAGACCCACAGACATCCTCACAGGACCTGGGGGAGGTGCATGTGGACCCGGGTCATGAATTCAGGAGCCGCATTAATTTAGTGGATGTATTATGACCTTTAAGCAGAACACGTGAAGAAGAAGTGGAACAGAAAGCCAAAGGCCACCCAGAGCCAGAATCTAAAGTCCTTGGTGAGGAAGAGAGAGTCCAGCTCGCTTGCAGCACCTGCTAGACAGCCCCATCTGGTAGACAAGGACCCAAAGACACAGAGAAGAAAGATTCCACAAGAGGGAGGTGGCCTCCTCCAAAGCTACCACAGGGAAATGAGGACATAAAGGTACAAAAGGTAGGTCCATCATTTCAAAGAATGCTTCCTGGAGAAAGATAAGGCAGTTCCTGGAAATGCCGCAGTCTAAAGATCGGGCCATGGGACTGAAGAGATGGATCAGCGGTTAAGAGTACTGGCTGTTCTTCTAGAGGTCCTGAGTTCAATTCCCAGCAACCACACAATGAGCTCACAACTGTCTGTAACGGGATCTGATGCCCTCTTCAGGTATGCGTAAAGACAGATTGCTCATATACATAAAAATAAACAGGTATGAAAAAGATGGACTCCTCAAAAAAAAAAATGAATAAATAAAGATTGGGCCATGAAGGGAGCAGGCTGAGGTGGGGCCGGTGCCCTCACTGGTGCAGCTTCATGGAGAAGCAGCTGGAAAATCCACACAGGCATGTTGTAATGGGAGCCCCACAGCCATGAGGGAGAGGAGAGGTGTTGTGAAAGATGAAGGAAGTGGGAGGAGTCAGGAGGGGAAGACGGGTCTTTGACAGAAAGGGCGGGAGGGAGCACCATATACACACAGCTGTCAGTGTTGAAGGGAGGCCATAAGGACCGCCTGCTCTCCTCCACCCTTGGCATCTCTTGCTGGGACTCCTCCAGGTCTCGGTTCCAGCCATCAACCCCAAGCAGGCCTCGTACTAAGTCACACCCCCTCTGACATTCTTCCTTACTAAAAAAACTTATCTAAGTTTGTAAATATATTCCACAGTCCTTTCCCTTACCTTACCCATAGTCCTTCCCCAAGGCTTGTGTCTCTTCTTAGCACAAAGAACTCACACCCTTTGTGCTGCCTGGATGGCTAGGCTTAGCCTGACAGGACTGATAAAGGCAAGTGACTCGTCTACTCCAGCCTCCAAGCGAGTGGCAAAGGCCTGGCCTTTAAACTCCTATGTCCCACGGTGATCCTCCTGCCTCAGCCTCTCCAATGCTGAGATGACAGGTCTAACCCACCACACCCAGCTTAGTGTGGTCTGAAACCCTGGTGGCGTCAGCACACAGGGAAATGGCTCAGCTAAGCCCTCCTGCCAGCCAGGGTCTCCCAAAGGACTCCCCCTCACTGTGACAAGTTTCCTGACAGCACTCAAAGGGTCCGAGCTCGAACCTGTCTGCCTACCCAAGGTGCACACCCAACCGCTGGTTATCAACACAGGTGGGTTCAGGCTTACTGAGCACAGGCCGGGGCACCGTTGACCTCAATGAGCCAGACCTTCAGCTCCTCATCCACCATGAAATCGAAGCCAAGGAGTTGGAAGCTCTGGTAAGGAAGGTGCTTGGTGCTGATGGCAGGCTCCACGCTCATGAGGCAGCTCCTGTGAGGGGAACGGGGAGAGCTCGCTGAGATTGGGGTGGTGGGGACAGAAGGAACACACACCCCATTAGGGACACATGCTATCGCTCAGCACCAAGTCACTATGTGTCTGCATCGGTGCAGCTATCACACTGGCTGTTGCCACAGTTGTTTATGGGAATCACCCGCTGGCCAGTGAGCGCAGGACATCTGCCGGTCTCTGCCTCCCCAAGGCTGGGCTTCCAAGCCAACACACGAGGCTCTAAATGTGGGTGCTGGGGATGGAACTCCGGTCCTCATGCTTGCACAGCCATGATGAGCCGTCTCCCCAGACCACATGGCTGTATTACGTGGTAAGGCAGGAGTTGCAGAAGGAACGCTGCATGGCATTGACTTCTCCTGTTAGCTCCAGATCTACTGCCAACTACTGCTAATGGGGCACTTAAGATTACAAGTATCCAGACTAAATACTGAAATCTATCACCAAAATTTAAAAAAAGATTTATATATTTATACCGCATTCTGCCTGCATGTATGCCTACATGCCAGAAGAGGGCACCAGATCTCATTACAGATGATTATGAGCCACCATATGGTTGCTGGGAATTGAACTCGGGACCTTTGAAAGAACAGCCAGTGCTCTTAACCTCTGAGCCATCTCTCCAGCGTCCTATCACAGAATTCTTATTAACACGGACTGTTTTGTTTTTGTTTTTTTTTTTTTTAGAAGGTTTTAATAGAAAAAAGTTAAAATGGAATTTTACAATCATACTGAGTAAATAGAGGTCTAAAGACAGGCCAGGTCTACTGCTATCCCACCCTGACCATGCCCAATCTTGTCTAAAAACAGGTCGCATTTAAAAATTTTAAGGCATTTTCTCTATGTAAGAATACTTTTCTGTTTTGTTCTTTTTTTTTTTTTTTTTTCTCCTCTTTGTTTTGGATACACGGTCTCATTGTGTATCCCTGGCTGCCTGAAACTTTCTGTGCAGACCACAAGCTGGCTTCAAACTCAGAGGTCCACCTGCCTCCTCCTTTCAAGTGCTGGGATTAAAGTCACACCCCTCTGTTGGAACACTGCCCAAGCATGGAGTCCTGTGAGGAGAATTCCGAGTGTTTGTGAGAAAACTCCAAGGAAACAAGAGTCTTGAGACCTTGGATTACTCAAAACGGAATTATTCTTGGAGCGTGTTTTCGTGTTTCTCCCAGGAGTAGCGGATAGGAGGGAGTTTACTTCAGATTACTCATTCCAACTGGCTATAGTTACTTCTTTACATGTCTCTATGGGGAACATTCCTTTTGGTCGGGTGCTGCTTGTTCTTGGGATTGTACGCTTTATTCAGGTGACTCTTCTGGACCCTCCAGAGGATAAATTGTCTGATACTCTGAATAAAGTTGGCTATTGCGTGAGACCTAAGTCTGTCCACTTATCGGCTCCATTCGCCCAGGTCCTTCCGCCTCAAGGGCGGTAAACATACCACCACACCCGGCTCTTTAAAAGTGTTTTAATTAAAATATATTTAATACGACAAGTTTTTTTAAAAGGCAGAAGTTTAATGAAAGGGGGCAATGACAGAAAAAGACAAAAGCGCAAGTATTACAATGTGACACACAGAATTAAACTTTTTATCTGCTAGGAGGTTAGGAAGAATAATCGGCAGCAGAGGGTTTTTCATTATCAGATGCTGCAGGCAGTGCAGGATTTTTGTTGTTTTGTTTTGTTTTTTTGTTTGGTTTGGTTTGGTTTTGGGTTTTTTTGGCTGCAATGGGAGCCCGCGGGAGGCTGGCTAGGGAAAAGGAAAACCTGAGAGCCCTGATCAACATTCAGGGGCAGCAGCCCTGCCCTGCAGGGAATGACCAGCAGGGGGAGAGGAAGGGTCCAATAAACGGCTCCTAGAGTAGGGATTCCTTCTGCTTTATTTTCTTGATGTAGAAATTCTAAACAACCTATGACTACCAAAGAACTTGACATGTAACGTTTCCAGCCAAAAGAAGTAAAAAGAAAAACAAAAGGAAAGATGAACAAAAATAAAATACAGGGCATAAAACCCAACTTCTGAAAAGATTTATTCTGTAATATTCACAGACTGGAACAATACATAGTAATTAAAAAAAGAGAGAGAAACTACCGCTGTGTGTAAATACAGCTGCACGATGTCAACAAGAGTAGTGCAGCCCCATTTACACCGTTTAACATGAGCAGCCACAACGGGAAAGGCTGCCTTCGTCAAGGAACCCTATCTTAAGGAGTTAAAAGGCTTCCTGGGGGCGCAGGCTGCAGCTCTCCAGGGAAAAGGAAACAATAGTGTATTCAGAGATTTGTTTAAAGAGCGGCTCACGTTTCCATGGAGGGACAGAATGCTGGACCGTTGGAGGTGTCTGGAGGCTGGAAGTTACTGGATAAGTGCCAAGTTCTGGTATCCAGAATCGAAATTAAAGGACACAAAGTGTGTTTATTTACTTATGTTTCTTGCCAAGGTGGCCTCTGGTTGGTGCCTTTATTTCTTTTTCTCTCTCACCTTCCTTTCTTCCTTATTTCCTTCTTTCCTTCCTTCCTTCCTTCCTTCCTTCCTTCCTTCCTCCTTTCTCTCTTTCTCTCTTCCCATAGGTGCTTACTTATTTTGGAGGCAGGGTCTCAGCATATAGCCAGGGCTAGCTTGAGCCCTGCTGCTTCAGCCTACCAGGTGCTGGGATAAAAGGAGTGTGCCTACTCTAAATATTTCATATCACAATTTGTTTCATGGTTAGCGGAATACGTACAGGACTTAAAACTCACTGAACCATACTTTGGTGTTATTGCACTTCATTTTTAGAAATTACTAGATTTTGTAACCTATAATAAAGAATACTGACACTAAGCAACTATTCCTAGGTATACTATAAAATGAATCAAGACAAATGACAGTAGAAATAGACTAAGTCAGGAGCAGGTAAATGCAAATACAAGATATACTATTTAATATAAGATACACACAGGATCTCTACAGCCAGCTGTCTAACTAGAGCAGATGAATCAGGGAGCTCTGGGTTCAAGCGGGAGACAGCCCCTGCTTCATATAAAGCGCACACACGTGAACCCACACACAGGCACCTGCACACATACATGTGAACACACACCACACATATCAACACATGCAACAAATAAGTAAATACATAGAGAGGTAAAAGCGAAACCATACACTGTCCCTATGACCATAATGGAATTATGAGAAGTCCATAAACACCTGGGTTATAAGCAAAAATTCTTACATCACACAAGGCAGGATGTAAGCATTAGGGAAAATAAAAAGATTCTGATGTGATAAAAATAGAAACAGAACCTCAATGATCTGTGGAACACAGAAGAAAGATTGAGACATTGAACCGTCTGTTGTGTTTGTCTTTCTTAATAAAGACATCTCAAATCGATCACCTAACCTTTCATCTTAGATTAAATAATAAAAGAAAAGCAAATTAAACTCTTCAAACAGCAAACAGGAGGAGATAATGGAAATAGTAAGAAACGAAAAAGATAGTTAATAATGCCCAAAATTGATTTTTTTAAAAAGATTTAATTTATCCAAGTAAACTAGAAAGATGATATAATTTATCAGTACCTAGAACAAATGACATTACCACAGATGTATTCTACAGACACTAAAACGAAAATAATTTCTTTACATACATTAGGCAGCTTAAGTGGGACAATCTCTTAGAAGGCATAAACACCCTAAGTCCCTTTCAGAACACATAAATCAAAATGCTTACCTCTAACTCACCTTATTATCTGTTTGATTTGCAGCAAAATGCTACTTTCTAAGGTGACGTTCAGGGCGCTTGTTAGGTACCGACTGAACTCTTCGAAGAACATTTCATTGCCTTCTTCGTATTTCCCGTAGTTCTTTGAGTACTCTTTCTGAATGCAGTGATTGGTCAAATGGCAGGTCTTATCTTGGAAATTATCAACATGGTATGGTTCCGAAGCAGTTCGAAGCACGCCCTCTCTATAGAGGTAGATGTTATACTGATGGTCAACCAGGACCCAGCTTCTGCAAGCCGATAAACACACAGTTTGTTCAGATCCCATGTTCTTATACAGAACCTCCACACCTTAATTTATTACTATCATTTATTTGTTTTTGAGACAGGGCCCTACTGTGAGGCCTAGCTGGCCTGGAAACTTCCTTCGAAGGTACCTGCCTGCCTCTCCCCCTGTGCCAGGATTAAATGCGCCTACGACCACCCGGCACACACACTGAATTTTTGTAGGGCTGTGACGGTATAGAAAAGGAGAAGGTTCTACAGTTATAGAAGGCAAATAATAAGTTAGCCAAAATAACGGATTAGCACCATAATGAGACAAATGAAGTATTTCACCATAAATAAATGCTTGAGCTCCTTTTTAAAATAGGCAATTTTGAAGGCTATAGATGCTTTTGAGGTTAACAAATGATACCTCCACGTGCCCTGTTTGCCTTCCGGTATCTTGGCTGGCACTGTAACCTGGCAGCATTTTCTAGACAGAAGAACTAAAAGGGAAGCAGCCACTGGCTGGGTGGCTTAGCTGTACTCATGGCAACACGCTGGCTACGGCCAGCCACACGCCCCTCGGAAGTCACACCATCTTCCCAGCAGATCCTGCCACACTCTGAAAGGATGACTGCAGTCAAGGCCAGGCACACCGAACATTACCGAATGTCAAACTTGCGGTGGCCGGGCTCAAGGAGCAGAGGGCGCTCGAGGTATTTCTGGATCACGTGCACCTGGCCCTGGTTGTCTATGAAATCCAGAAGCTCCGCCGCCTCTGAGGAGATGAGGATGCCTTCCCCTGCAGAGAGAATCGACACAGAGACCAGCTGGCTCACTCCAGGAGGGCCGGCTCCAGACTGAGGCTGGAGGAAACGGAAAACTCCATCTTTTGTGCGCAGGTGTATATGCCATACTGCTTGTGTGGAGACCAAAGGAGGTTGTCCTCTCCTGCCACTGTGTGGGTCCTGGGGAGCTGGACTCAGGTTGTCAGGTTTGACGGCAAGCACCTTTACCAGCCAAACCATCTCTCTGGCCCAAGATTTCCGTTTCTGAGTCGTTTATGATACCAATGTCACTGGTTACAAGTTATAACATAACCGGTTATGGCCTGTGATCACCAGATTCATTCTAAGACGCCCTACAGAAAAGCCAGGAGGCGACAGTACCAGACCACCAAGCTGAAGACCCAGACATAGAGCAGTGTGTCCCACAGCACAACAGAAGACTGCAGGCACGGGGACTGTCCATCAACAGTGGACAGGCAGCTCGGCCTTTAACAGTTTGAGAGACAACACACTAGAAAATCCAAACTTGTAAAGCCACAGCTTGATGGCTTGAAGTCTCTCAAGTAAAGTTCCTCAACTGTCATGAGAACCGATTTTTGGAAGATTTTCATCACCCTCTTAGAATTCTGTAGCCAGCTCTCTTTCTTCGCCCCGGCTTCTCACAACTCCTACCCCACTGTCGCTCTGAGCCTGCATTTTCCACACACTGATATGAACCAGATCACACGGTACATGGCCATTTGTGTTTTCACGGAATACGTTTTCAAAGGGGCTTTGACAGAGCAAGATTTGTTTTGGTCAGGTTTCATTTCTCAGCCCTCAATCTTATGGGTATCATGTTTATAGATTCTTTGCTCCTCTCTCACCCAATTTCAGTTTTACCTTTTCCATGAACTGCGAATTGGTTTGAATGGGTTAATTTTTCCCCGTGAACATGTACTGTACATAGCAACACTTATTGAAATGGTTAGCTCCTCTTGCATGTCTATGAGCATGCATGTGCATGTGTGCATGATGGTTTCCACGTTGGGGGGTGCATGTGTGCAGGGGTCTGGACTGGATGCCAGGTATCTCTCTCAAATTGCTCTTCTTGAGCTTATATATTTGACAGGGTCACAAGTGGAAACCAGAGTCTGCCATTCTGGCTAGTCTGGCTAGCCAACTAGCTCCAGGGGGCCCTTGCTACTGCTTCCCAGGCACCAAAATGGCAAGGGCACTGTCATGCCCACCTGGGTTTTACATGGGTTCTGGGGACCTGAACCCTGATCCTCACGCCTGCAGAGTAAGTGAGCACCCCCGTGAGCCACCCCAGCCATGTTTCTCCTTTATTGACAGTTGCTAGTGTTGTCCCTCTGATGAACTCGAGTCACCTGGGAAGCAGGGCCTCTGGGTACCGTGTGCAGGGTGGTTATCTTGAATACACTTTCTGAGGTGGGAAGACTATCTTAATAGTGGGTGGGACCGTTTCCTGGGCACGGGGTTCTGGGCTGTAGGTGGAAACGGGAACTGAGCAGCAGGCATACACTGCTGTCTTCCCGAGCCTGCAAAGGCAACATGAGGAGCTGCCTCAGGCTCCTGCTGGCCTTACTTCCCGGCCACAGTGGACTGTAGCTTGAACTGTGAGCGAAAATGAACCCTTCCTTCCTTAACTCACGTCGTCGGGGTATCTTATCATAGCAGCAAGAAAAGAAGCGAAGACAAATGCGTTTCACATAAACGTTTGTGAAAAATTCAGGTGGATAAATGTCTGGATCTACTTCTGAGTTTTTGAACCTGTTCTGTGGACTCATGCTTCTGTCCCTCTGCCAGACTGCAGTGTCCTGGGCACCAGGGTGGTACGGTACGCTGAGTATCACCTGCCGAGTAGAGGGAGTCATTCTACTTTATCTTTTTCAAGATCATTGAGTGTACCCTCTGGCCTGTGCTTTTTCATAAGAAACTTAGAAGCTTTACATCTGTAGGAAAACCCTGCTGCACTCTTAGCTGGAATCACCATGAATCTGCACGGCTGGGTGAACTGACATGCTTCCTCCGCTGAGTTCTCCAGTCCACGGACACATGGTTTTCACTCTGCAAGCGCTCTCTGACCTCATTCATAATCCTCCTGGCGCTTCTGGCCTTCTGAGCTACATACACATGCTCTATCTTGGCAGTTTACTTTTTTTTTTTTAATTTGCTTTCTACATGTTATCATTAAAAAACAAAAACAAAAACAAAACAAAACTAAAAAACAAAAGCAATGGATCACGGTGAATGAACCGGGCCTTGCCCATTTATGAAGAAAGGTAACAAAAACTAAAAGCAATTACATTTGCGATAAGACTGTAACTCTGCCATTTTCCTATGCCTGTTACATTTACTATGTGACAGCAGTTTTTAAAAGTTATAAAAAATAAGAGCTGGAGACACGGCTCAGTGGTTAGAGCACTGGCTGCTCTTCCAAGGACTGAGTTTCGATCCCCAGCACCCACACGGCAGCTCACCACCTCCTGTAGCTTCAGTTTCAGGGGATCCAGTGCCTTCTTCTGGCCTCCTCAGACGCTTCATGCCTGTGGTGCACATACACACAAGCAGAGCCCACACACATTTAGAAGACACATCTATTTGCCTCGTCCCTGTGTTATTTGTCCTACCTCCCTGACTAGGTTGTGGGTCATATGTCTCTTCTAATCCTGAAACCCCACATACTCATTCACTCACTCACTCACTCACTCACTCACTCACTCACTCACTCAGTGCATAGGCTAACGCTGAGAGGTGCCAGTTTCCATCCTGCCATGTGCAGATGCAGCACCATCTGCTTTTACTTCAACAGGGCCTATCAGTTACATCGCACGCAGACTGGGACAACGGCGCAGGAAAGGCATGGGGCTCCACGGGAGAACTGAAGTGGCCCAGGACAGAGACGGATCATGATGGTGATGAACAGCAGCGAGATGCTGATATATTTAAAACTCTGAGCCAACCACACCAAGCATAGAGTAGGCATAAGTAATACTTATTGAACAAGCATAAAAGCCATGTTTTCATCCCATTAATTTGATTGTGTAGTTAAATGCCCATAGACACTCCCTGTTAAATGCCCATAGACACTCATTTCGACCCTTAAAACAAAATTCTTCAAAATGTTATTCTCTGTTCCTCCCTCCTGTTGCTTTGGTGCCATTCTGTGCTGTCTTAATGAGTTCCAGGGACCAATAATATCCTCCCAACGGCATCCCGACTCCTGGGCCACAACCTAGAATGCCAATAGATGCCTATCTCTCTTCCAAGTCCCCAATTTACCAGCAGAATCAAACTAAAAATAGTACTTAAGATGGAGTTACAAGAGAAAAGAAGAAGCAGGTGAGGCCCCCGGCTTGTGGCAATAGCTCACATCGACCATTTTCAGGAGATTCCAAGGGATGCCTTCCTATCCTGTGATGGAGGAAAAGAAGTTGGAGTCCAATGGACCAGGAACAGAAATGAGTAACAATTGGCCAGGTGCTCTTCCAAACCGTGAAAAAAAATAAATTCAAGATGCAATGGTTTAAAAATAGCACATGACAGCAGTTATGGGGGAGACTGTGCGCTCACTACATCAGGAACCTTCTCTGTTTAAGTCTGAGCTGATATGATGAGCCTCCTCCCTTTCCAGGCATCCATTCCACACGTGTACTGAGTGCCTGTGTGGAAGGTACAGAAGCAAACAGAAGAAGGTACAGAAGAAGTCCGTGTTTATGTGGGGATTATAATACATCAAGGAAATGGCCAGAAGATGTGATACAGTCCTGGGAAGACACTAACACACATAGGTTAAAGATACAGAAAGCAACAGGCATGGAGGCCATTTTAGACCAGAGGAGCCTTCTCTGATGAGGCAATGTCTCAGCTGATGAAGACACATCCCAGGTATAGAGGCAAATTTATCTACTTGGGATCCAAGGCAGTCTCTGTGTCTGCAGCACAGTGAGCAAGGCCAAGAACAGGAGATGGTTTCAGAGATGCCGGGAAGTGTCCAATAGTGTGGAGTCCCACTAGGCCCCTGGAGCCCTCCTAAATGCATCAGGAAGTAACATAATCAGATCTGCGTTTTTTTTTTTTTTTTTTTCAGTCATCACTCTGTCTGGCCAGATGACAGCTGGCGGAGAGGCCCACTGCAGCAACTGGCTAGAGAGAACGGTGGCTGTGATTGAGCTCGGGGGTGGTAGAACAGAAGAACCTAATCCTGAAGAGATATTGAAGGTGGCCCAGGCGAGATGTTGATGCATTTCATACAGATGGTAAAGAAAAGGAGAGATCCAAGATTTGGGGCTTCAGAGACTGGGTGGACAGCGGGATCACACACTAAATAGGAAATGTGAAGGAGGAGCACTTGGGTGGACAAGCAGGAACGGATATGAAACATTCTGTCCTAGACACTTTGAGTTTGAAATGCCTTTTGGAGACAGTGGGGATATCCAGAGCTTAGAGTGAAGACTCAGGCAATACACACTAGGGATAAACACTAGGCAATAAACATAAGGTCTTTAAAGGGCTACAGCTGAAGTTCAGAAGGTAGAACATTGGCCTTGCAAGCAGAAAGGCCCGGGTTCCATCCCCACAACCCAAAGACACCAAGCATGAGAGTTCACGCCTGTAATTCTAGCCCTCTGGTGGACAGAAACAGAAGAGTCAGGACTTTCAGGTCATCCATGGCTGCATTCAAGGCCAGCCTAGGCTACATGAGAACCTATCTCAAAAAAAAAAAAAAAAAATTAGGCATGATCTTCTGATTCTGAGAGGACTCATTCATCTGTATACATCAGTAAGGGCCAGTGAAACAGCTCCGTGGGTAAAGGCGCTGGTACTGGCACTTGCTAAGCCTGATGATCTGAGTTCAATCCTTCAGATCTATGTGTCGAAAGGAGAGAAAAAACTCCCGAAGGATGTTCTCTGACCTTCACATGTGCATCTATACGCCCCACGCTCAAAACAAAGAGGCAGAACATCATTAAAACCCAATGTACCACTGAACAACGCTCAAGAGGATGCTACAACTGGCAGAGAGCGCAGCCATGGCAACTTACCTTTGGCACCAGCTGATGACTTTGCAATCCAAACGTTGCCTTCCCCGTCCTCTTTCTTCCGGTTGTAAGAAGCCAGGAAGAATTCTCTCTCATCTGTCCTTGTGTTACTGACTGGAAGCTGGATGCCATTCTGGGCTGGAGCAACTGGTGTCTTGAGGTTAGTTGGATAGATCACATAGGACTCTGGGAACCACGTACAGGACTCAGACAGGTCTGGACTGGTCTTGACGAGCCTAGCAGATGACAGAGGGTCAGTCAGACAGCTTTGGACTGAATTTGACTAGCCTGGAAGACGACAGGGGGGTCAGTCTCCGTTTCTGGTGAGCTGACCCCTTGCTCAGAAAGATTGCTGCTTTCTCCCAAAGCTTTTCCAAAAGATAAGCAAAACCCAATCTGGTTTCCTCTCACTCTGAGCCTCCATGGACAGGCTTCTAACGCATCACACTGTCTGGTGTGACTCCAAAGCCACGTCCTGGTTAATTCAAAGGCTCGTGGTGAGCTGGGAGTGTAGGGCCGTGGGGAACCCTCAGCACCGCACAAGCCAGACTTGGTGGTGGATGTCTATAATCCTAGTGTTTAAGGGGTAGAAGGAAAAAGGGTCCGAAGTTCAAGGTCTGGAGACCAGCATGAAATATATGAGACCCTGGCCCAAAACCAATGACAAAACAGCAACAACAAAACCCACAAGGCTCAAAACTTAACTCTTCTTACATGTATCTCTATAAAACTCAATATAACCCTAAACTGACACTTTTCCACCAATATGTTATACTAGATAGAGCCAAATAAAAGTGAGGGCACACTGGGAGGCAGAGGCAGGTGGGTCTCTACAGTACAAGCCCAACCTGATCTACACTGAAAAAAAAAAAAAAAAAGTGAAAAGAGAGAAAATATCTGAACAACCAGTAAAAATACTATCTTGGCCCAGTTGGAGAAAAATCTAGGAGAAACTTCTCAGCCTACTTAACTCTTCAATCTAAATAATCCAAATACTATTTTAAATCCTTCATACTTTAATTTTAGCTCAGGCTGATATCCTGACAGAGTAAAGATGGAATCCTTCCGGTAGGACACAGGGCAGGAGTGGACCACAGGAAATGCCTTCTGCTCCCAGAATGACATACACCATGGAAGATGAAGTCAGGCCGTGGGCATGGCACATAAACACAAGGGCTCCTCACCACACCACTCTCCTGCCACACCCAGAGCTGGAGGTTCAAGAACCCGTTTCACATGGAGAGCTGAGTCACAGAGGTGTAAAGTTCCTATATCACAAACGTGTGAGGCCCAGGCAGGATGCAAGCTCTTAACTCCCACTCCCAGGAACTGGAGCCACTGAAGTCTAGCCTGGCCAAGCACAGACCTCCCTGAAGCTGCCATTCCCTCTTCTGTCGAGAACAGAACTGCTCGTGTGAGTTCTAAATCCCGATTCATCTACAAAACCCAGTCTGAGAAGAGAGCAAAACGACATTTCAAACTAAGATTTACGGTAAAATGGCTGGGGAGTCTGGGCTGGTAAAGATCTTGCTGTGTAGGCAGCAGCATGATGTGACGTGCACTTGTGACCACAGAGCGGGGGCGGGGAGAGACACACAGATCCCGGGGGGTTGATGGCCACCCAGCTTAACCTACTGTCTCAAAAAAAAAAAAAAAAATTTTTTTTTTTTTTCAAAACCAAGTTTCTCTGTGTAGCCCTGGTTGTCCTGGAACTCGCTCAGTAGACCAAGCTGGCCTCAAACTCATAGATCCACCTGCCTCTGCTCTGCCTCCCAAGTGCTGCGAGGCACACCCAGAAAAAAAAAATTTACACACACACACACACACATATATATATATATATATATATATATATATATATATATATATATATGGTAGACAGTACCTAAGAATGATACCTGAGGTCTGAGGTTATTCTCTGGCCTCAATACACACTCACACACAAGCAAGCTCAAGCTCAACACACACACACATACACAAACACACACACAACTTAAATAAAATAATTTTAACAACAAATAGGATTTGAAAGTTCTTTCAACCCAAAGAGACTAAGAAATATAAACCAACCAACTTCTAGCCCCCTCCACGTTCAGCTCTGTCCCACTGTCCCATACGGTCCTCACGGGTCACGTGGAACCAGTGAGCATTTGAATGATGGCCAGTAAGACTCAGGAAGTAAACTGTAAGCTACATCTAAATTTAATCAGAAAACCAATGCACTGTAATAATATTTTTTTTTCCCCAGCAAGCACTTTATTAACTTAGCAGGTAGCATTTCCGCTGTTTCTATGTTGCTACATGGAGGCCCCATCCCGGTGTCGTTTCTACGAGTGTACACAAAAGCATGACAGTTCTGTCCAGGAATGACAGCTTAACTCAGCTCCAGCAGTGCTTCTTTCCTGTGCATGCATGAAATGGTACGTGTTTACTATCGAATGGGCAGAGCTAGCTATGTACACCAAATGAGTGTCATCTAAGGCAGAATGTTTAAAATACATATAAATATATTGGTGCTGGAAAGATGGCTCAGTGGTCAAGAGCACGGGCTGCTCTTGCAGAGGACCTGGGTTCCGTTCTCAGCACCCCCATGGTGGCTCCCAACCATCTGGAACTCCATTTCCAGAAGCTCTGACACTCTCTTTCCGCCCCCTTGGGCACTGCATGCATGTGGCATGCATAGACATGCCAAACACTCATTCACTTAAAATAACAAAGCAAATATTGGCGATTTAAAATGTTTGAAACAGTGGTGTACTCTCAGGAAATTGAAAGAGGGACACGGAAGCTAAGAAAATGCCCGGGAGAGGAAAGAAAAAAAAATGAATAAGTAAATGAAGTAACTAGAAGAGATATGACACAAATTCACAATCAGTGTCATCTGCTCTGGTCAAGGCACAGTAAAATGAAAAAGCAGCCTTTGTGGTAAAGGCAACATTTTCAGCAAAGAATATTTGATAAGCAATTTTTCCTCCACAGCCAAGAAAGAATCAATGATATTAGTGGTTGAAGTCATATTTTACTATATTTAAGTGTGAGAGAGTGTGTGTGAGCGTGTGTATGTGTACATGTGAACACACAAGCTAGTGGAGGGCATAGGGCCCCCTGGAGCAGAAGTTTGGAGCTGGTCATGAGCTGCCCTGTGGGTGCTGGCAACCAAACTTGCCCCCCCCCCCCCGGAAAGGCAGCGTGTGCTCTGAACCACTGAACTAGCTCTCCAATCCTTGAACAAAAACATTCTGGAATAATTTTCCCCTTGCCGTGCTGAGGGCAGAACCCAGGGACTCCCACGTCCAGGAAAGTTCTCTAGAGCTGAGCTGCACATTACCTGGCCTGCCAACAGCTTTTTAACAGGACCTAAACTTGGAGCTTCAGTCACTATGAAAGAAGTAGCTATCACACAAAAAGAAAGCCATTGTGCACGAACAGATGATGAGACAAGTTACATTAAGGTAAAAAGAAAAACCCTTGCTGGCCAATTTTATGTCAGTGTGAGGAGGGAGGCATCTGAGAGGAGAGCCTCAACTGAGAAAATGCACTCATGCTAAGATCTGGCTGAAGGGCATTTTCTTAGTTAGTGATTGATGGAGGAGGACCCAGCCCATTGTGGGCGGTGCCATCCCTGGGCTGGTGGTCCTGGGTTCAATAAGAAAGCAGGCTTAGTAATCTATAAGGAGCAAGCCAGTGAGCAGCATCCCTCCATGGCCTCTGCATCAGCTCCTGCTTCTAGGTTCCCATCCTGACTTCCTTCCATGATGGACTACAGATTGGATGTGGTCAAATAAACCCTTTCCTCCCCAAGTTGCTTTTGGTGATGGTGTTTCATCACAGCCATAGGAACCCTAAATAAGATCGATATTTCTCAAGTTTTATAATTAAACCCCAAATAGCCATTGCCTAGAAACTGTAACATCAAAAATGAACTGAAAAATTTAAAAACACTAAAGTTTTCCTTAACCTTAGATAAGTTATATAAGCAGGTGCTGCCCAGTTAATGCTTTGGGATGCTTATACGGAGAAATATTGTCAAAGTTCAGCCTAAACCTGTGGCTCTCAACCTTCCTAACGGTTTAATAGAGTTCCTCATGTTGTGGTGACCCACAACCATAAAATTATTCTTGTGGCCACTTCCTAAGTATAATTTTGCAGTGTTATGAATCATAACGTGAATTTCTGATGGGCAGGATATCTGATATGTGGCCCTCAAAGGGCCTGCGACCTGCATGTCGAGAACCACTGGCCGAAACAATGTTGAACTCACGCTACAGCCATCTTGTAATATTTTGCATCTGTCAAAGAATTTCATCTACATGTAAAAAATTACTTTCTGTCATAGTAGAAACTTCTACGTAACTGCCACAAGGTTGGGTTAAAATGTGGATTCACTGGGATGTTCATGTTTCCTTTTTTACTCCATTGCACCATATGGTACATATTGGAAACATTTGCCTCGCTGAATCTGATGATACAAACTGGAAACATTTGTGTTCTAAGGCCCACTCTATAAAAAGTATCATGGCTACAGCTGCCCAAATGGCTCAGGATACACTTGCTAACGTCAGGCCATGATTCACCAGTTCAGGAGACTGTTGAAAAAAGAAAAGAAAAGAATAGAAAGCTAGAAAACTTCAGACAGAAGACAATGAAGTTAGCCAGTGTTCTCTGTTGATATCCTCTGATGGAGAGATGAAAGCATTTTATCGTATTAACTCCAATTCATATTTTCTTGAAGCAGAAATACTTGCCAAGTCATTTTCTTCACCTAGTAAGCCATTATTTCATTCAATATTAATAGATTTTTAAATGGTAGTGTTATACAAAAATCTCACATATATTCATATTATACCCACATGAGCTAAATTTATAAAGCTCAAGGAAGAAAAACTTTATGATCTACTCATACACGTATAGTAATTTGTGTTCCAATATCATAACACATTAATAATCATGATTTCACATATTTTATCATGTAACAAATTGAAGGTTTTACATTTAATGATGTTGTGAATGTTGTCGAAACAAACAAAGAAAATTGAAAATACATCAAAAGTAACAAAGTTACTTTTCAGTATGTTCAATGCCCCTTTAAATCCAATATTAAGCTAATGAGCTGACGTAGAGTTGGAATTTAATGTGAGCCTAAGTTTTTCAAATGATATGCTTTCGCTTCCAGCTCAAGTCAATCTTTCTTAAAAAATGAACCCATCTCACCACGGTATATACGAATATTAAAGGAAAGGTCTGATTGAAGACCCAATTATTATACACTTTTGACATACACATATGCCAGAATTGGATACAGAAATCTACTGTTTGATTGTGTGTGTGTGTGTGTGTGTGTGTGTACACATGCATACCAGATGATCACTGTACCAATGGAGCCTCATCCCCAGCCCTAAATCTACTTTTCCAACCATAGTTTTATGAAATCTAAATTCAGATAAAGGGTTTCCAGTGAAAATGTACCCTCTGAACTAAGACAGGCTAGAAATTTAAAGTGCACGCCAGATTTTGAAGACTCAGAATGAACAATACGAATTCATTTTTTTATGTTAATAGCATGTCAAAAGACAACATAGTTTAGGGTATGGTTTTGGGAGGGGCTACTTTTTTTTTTTTTTATAATACTGGGGATCAAACGCAAAGCCTTGCACACTAAAAGTAAGTGTTCTACCAATAAACTACACCCTTACCCCATTGTCTTAGTTGGGGTTACTATTGCTGTGATGAAACACCATGACCAAAGGATTTATTTTGCTCAGTTCCATCCTCAAAAGCAGTGAGGGCAGGAAGTCAAGCAGGGCCGGAGCTGACGCATGGAGGGTGTTGTTTATTGTCTTCCTCCTCATAGCTCTGCTCAGCCTGCTTTTTCATAGAACCCAGAACCACCAGCTCAGGGATGGCACCACCCACAAGGGCCTGGACCCTCTCTTCTCCCACCAATCACTCATTAAGGAAATGCTCCACAGCTAGATCTTATGGAGGCATTTTTTTTCAATTGAGGCTCCCCCCCCCCCAGATAACCCTAGCTTGTGTAGAGTTAACATAAAACTCTCCAGCACATTCGTTAAATAAAACAGATTGACTTGATGGCACCTGTTCTTTGCACTTGCTGTTTGGGGCCTGAAATTACACATGTGGCCAGCATCCTATTTCTGCTGGGCAGTACTGGTTTGTAAGATGACCTCATTCGGAAGCCCACACTTCCGTACAGAGCCAAGGCTAAGCTCTGTGTGACATCCTTGCATGTCTTCTTTTACGTTTGGAGGCGAGCATCCAACTGCAGGCTCATCCACACTTTCAGGGAGCAATGCTCAAAGGAGAAAAAGCCTGCCAGGAGATTAAAAAGTTCTTTAAGTGCTCTGAGGTGTGGCCATGGGTTCCCCACGAATTTCTGATACTCCCTGCAGTGAGAGGAAGAAGGATCAGGTTGTCCAAGGTCCAGCATAGAACCCCATCAGGGCTCTTGGAAGCCCTCTCAGGCATGCCCGGCCAAACTGTTCTATTTGTACAGATTAGAACCTTCCTGGCTCCATATGAACTGCTGTGGCCTTGGAATGCACAGCCGACTCCCCCACGCCTCAGGTGCCATTCTAACCCACAAAATGAGGGAGCTCACATCTTACTCTCTAGTGTCACTTCAAGCCATACACAGTCACGGCAGAGACACACCGCCAAAGGGAGCCAGAGTCTCCTGGAACTGCTATAGCACCTTGCAGAACACTTACGAGAACAATGGAAGCTGCTGCTGCTGCTGCTGACGGCAAAGGTCACCTGACACAGGTCACGTCACTACCTACAAGATGCCATTGTGGATATCCCACAGAACGGGAATTGTCACCACCATCCAACCCCATTTTGCAAATGGGACACTGGCAGTCAAAGTGGCGCTGTCCAAGGTAATAAACTGGTCATGGCTGCAGCCCGGGTTCTCTCTGACTCGCCACAGCTGTTGAATAAGCAAATATGCAAAGCACTAGTATTTTTATAGCATCTCCTGCTTCCTATTTATAAAAGCAAAATTCTACTTTTGTCTTCATGTCTCTGTGTGGGCATGCTCACATTTAGATGAGTGTAGGTACTCACAGTGGCCAGATGAGGCTATCAGATGCTCTGGAGCTAGTCAGAGGCAGTTGTGAACTGTGTGACAAGCCTGGGAAAGGAACACAGGTCCTATGGAAGAACAGCATATGTGTGCCTAACTACTGAACCATCTCTCCAGCCCTGGCCATTTACAGTCTACACACAAAAAGAATACATCATACAAAGACTTCAGGAAGCCTCATTCTCTTAGGAATTGCTGCTAAATCATGAAAACCCATCCCAGAAAAATGGGAGAGATACCAGCACATCCAAAGACAAACAGAGATGCTACAAGAAGCACCCAACCTCTTAAGTCATTGGCAAGTATAAAGAGTACTTTGCATTGAATCCCATCTCCTACTGTCTCTTCACCCGAAGGCTATTTCACTGTTCACACATGAGCTGCAGAGAAGAAATCCAGGAGACCTTCTATAGCTCTGGTCTTAGGGACCAGATGAAAATATGAAAATGGCAGTAGCTTCCATATGAAAATGGCAGTAAGAACAGCAACGAGACTCCAAGAGTTGCAGTTAGGTAGCTACTGCCATTCCATGTGCGGAGAAGAAAGTTAAAGCACAAACACCCACGATGTACCAGGCCCTCTCACACACGTCACCTGGCTTAATCCTCCTAATTGCTTTAGGAGGGAGGTGTTCAGGCTTAGAGGGATGAGAAGATTTGCCTGTTAATCAGATTCTTCAAAGAGCTGAGGCGAACCCCAGCTACCGCCTCTGGATCTCAGTCACTCAATTCTACCTCGTAATACTGTGCTTGTGATACCTAGCTGTACCCAGATGTCTCAGAGAAGCGGTGGAGATGACTGTGCGGCCTTCTGTCCCAGTGTCTTCTCAGGGACTCCTAGATGCTTGACAGCTTGCGCACCTCTCTCTGGGGAGCAGAAATGCCTGGCAACTTATCCCACCCCCCACTCCTCCACCCTTTCCTCACAATCAGAGAGGATGGGAAAGCTTCTAGGAGAGCAAATGCCAAGAAAAAGGCGGAACTGCTCCTGACTGACACCACGGCAGATGCTCAGTCACTCTGCTTCAAGCTGTGACAGCTCTCATCCACGTCAGAGCACCAGGGATAAGACTTCAGCTAAAGCCACCTCTTTGCTGGGCTCCTAACCCACCCTGCCCTACCGTTCCCCCCTCACTTCCATTTGGGTTTGCCTTCAGAATCTCCCAAGAAATCACTTACACTAGAACCCCCCCCCCCTTCCCGAGCGTCGGGCTCTGCTTCTAGGAAGCCTGGCCTAGGAGACAGGCAGGCCTTATTAAGTGATACATAGCAACGCCTGAAACTGTAATCAAAGCCACCGAGAGCCAACAGCCCTGATAGCTGTTGGCTCTCAGACCGGCAAAGATTTTCTTTTTTTCCTTACAATAATCCCTTATCTTGGCCTCAGAGCTTCAGGAGGAGAGCTAAAAACCATTTACGAAAGACACCGAAACGGGAGGTGTTCAGGAACACTTACTTCACTAAAGAAGCTTTGCGGCACAGTTTGTCCGCCCCCCTGTAGTAATTCACCAGCTGCACCAGCCCCGGCTCGTGACCTACAAGGAAAGAAGAGGCTCAGAAGGGAAACAGAACAGGCACGGAATGACAATGTCAGCGGCAGCGTGCAGAACAGATGTGTCATGCCCAGCTTCCCCTTCTCTCCTTTCAGGCTGGCTGTCAAACATGGAATGCCTGATGTTTCTGTGCCCCAAGCTCCCTTTTCCTTTTAGTAGCCTACTCCCAATACTCAAACTGACATACAGGTCAGCTGGGACGAGGCTCCCTTTTTCTTATTAGGAGGAGACTGAGTATTTCCTATTTTGTTTCCCCTTGGCCCTTACACAGTCCTCTCTGGGACTAACACACATAGGCTTGTAATCTGCTGAGCAAGGCTACCCGAATACAGCCACGAATTGACCCTCAACCTCACCTTCTCCAAACATGAAAGTAGGCAGCAGAGTATGGCGTGTCTACCTCCAGGACCTTCCAGAAGCCACTAGGAAGTGAAAGAAGGTCCTGGAAAGGCCACATGACCCTGTCAGAAGCCCTGAGAGCAACTCTGCACTATCCCACGAGGAAACATCTCAGCAGCTCTTACTACAGAAACCCTTCTACAATCACAACCAGAGGCTTGGAGTACAGCGCATCCTCGGCACATGTGAGGCCTTGGGTTCAATTCCCCAGCACCACAAAGGATAAAATGAAATAAATAGGAGCGATTAGAAACAAAAATGATACAACAAAGATACATTCTATTAAAAAAAATTAGCTCCTAACAAAATGCTTTGTCTCTTTCCAGCAACAAGGCCAGGTCTCAGAGGTAACAATAATTAATCTAACCATGGCACACGACCAAATCAGAACTTTCAGGCATTATCTGGTTTACATCTCCCTGGGGAAGACAGGCCCAATCCACAGTTGACCTGGTACCCTCTTGTCCCATTGGTCCTGGCCTTCCAGTGCCCGAACCTGACCCTCTGTTTCTCCTCGGGTTTTATGAATCCCACTTGAGACAAAAAGTGAATACTCCCAACAGTGAGGGGGAGAACCATTTTGGTTAGAGGACACAGCTGTCTTTTCCATAAAAATAAAATGTCTGCTGGTCATCTGCTAAATGTGTGGTGCCTTCTTAGGACTTGGGTCCCAAAGGCTTTATCTTTGTCATCACACCAGCAAGGCCAACTACCCCGGCCTAGCCTGAGCTTAGCCTTTTGGTGTGTTGTCAATATCAAGATTCTACCTAAGTTCTCACCATCCAGCACTGCCAAATGCCAAGAGGAGCTAGGAAGACAGGAAGGGAAGTGGCAAAGCAAGGAGGAGCAAACTGGTCAGCTGCTCCTGTACTTTCAGGGAAGTTTGTTTTGTGGGATTTTCTCTGCTGAGCCCTTCCAGAGGAACACAGCTAACACAGGGACATCATTTTCCACGAACATGTTCTACTCTGAGATTTCTGAGGCTCCTAACCAACCATTCCACAGCATTGCCATGCTAGGGTATAAACTTGTATAAAAATGAAAAGTCGTCCCTGAACTATTTCAGTAAGGTTAAGCCTTAACATACCTCCCTCCGAAAACCAGCCTTCTCTTGGTATGGCTGTAATGTCACCCAAATGCCCTATGGAAGGTTGCCAAATAGTTAATTTCAAAGGACCCACTTTCTAGTCTCATCCATCTCTGACCACACCGATTTCTGAAAAGCCTCCCCTCCCCAGGACATGGGACAGCCTAGGGTGTTCTCTAAGATAGAGATGCCCCTTCGCTCCCTCTCCCCTTCTGTCCTAGGAATTCAAATGACCCCACTCCCAAGGGAGTTTCTGTAGAAGAACCAGCTCCCCAGAGAGAGGCGGACCCTCCTCAGATGACTGTACAGTGAGGGGACCAAGAGACCAGGCTCAAGGCTGTGGGATGCTTGTTGAACCCATCTGGACAACTCCTAGATGACGTCATTGAAAAGGGAGTTGCTGTCCCTCCCTACAGATGAGTTCTCGAATAAAGTGGTACCAAGCCAGCTTGGTACCCATGCGGGTGAGGAGATTAAAGGTCACCCAGGCTTGCGTAAAATCCATCACTAGATGCACTGCCGCAAGCGCACACTTTCGGTGCAGCTAAAAGGAAGGGCTGAAATGGAACAGCCCCTATCCCCAGCCCCCTTTCCTGGAAGCTACTGCTTTGGTGAATTCAATGAGTTTTTCCCAAATTCCTTGCCGGTTCATCTGGGCCTTTGGGTAGCACACGCCTCTGGGGTTTCCACAACAACTCCCCCTCCACGCCCACACCACACAGGGCGGAATCCTCAGTGGCAGATGCTAGGTCACTGTCAGACAGGACAACCGCACCCAGACTCCATTCCGAATCCAGCTGCGGGTTTAGATCTTGCTGGACCCGTTTTAGATCTGCTAAGGCGAGCTCGCGCCGAGGGGGAAGATTAATGACCTTAAAAAACAAAAGCGCTGGCTCTCAGAACGGTGCGCGCAGCGGCCACGAGGGAAAGGCTCACCCAGTCTCCCGAAGGGCAGCCGGTTCCTCTCGCCCAGCATCAGGTTGAACCTGGGGTTGTCCCGCCGCAGCCTCTTCCAGTGGCCGGTGGCCAGCAGCAGCCGGGAGACCTCGGCGTAGACGCTGCTGTTCTCGTCGCGCACCACGAAGGTGTACATGGCGGAGGGCAGCGCGCCCCGCAGCCGCCGCCGCGCGGGTCCAGGACGGGGGGCTCCCCCCGTGGACGCTGTCCAAGCCCCAGCCCCCAGCCGCCCGCCCAGCCACCCGGCTGCGCCTCCGGATCCCCTCTGCGTCCGCTCCGGGCGCCCGCGCCACCGCCCGAGTGGCAAGCGCCACCCGGACGCCGCGCCCACCGCCGGCGCCCCGCCCACGACCGTGATTCCGCGCGGCGCCCGGGGCAGGTTTGCGGGCCGCTGCGGCGGGAGCTCCTTCCCGGGCAGGGTCGGCCCCGGCCGCCGCTCGGTGAGGGGCGCACGTGTGGCCTCGGCGCTCGGAAGCGCGCTGGGGGACAGACGGAAAGGATTCCAGCTGCGCCCTGGATCCTAGCCCGCAAACATCCCTTTCCGCGGTCCGTCCCGGTCTTCCACCCAGTTCAAAATCAGATTTGATGGATGAAAACAAAAGACCCAGGCGGGGGGTGTAGCTCGGTTGTTAGAAGGTTTGCCCATCCAGCGCCGAGGCCTGGGTTCCGTCTGGGTCCTGTAAAATCCCGCACGCCTCTCTTCTTAGGAGGTGACGGAAGAAAGATCGGGTATCCAAGGTCATCCTCGGCTACTTAGTGAATCCGAGGCCAGCTTGGGCTACGTGAGGCCCTTTCTCAAAAGAAATAAAAACTAGAGTTCTGAGGTTCCATCCTGTGTCCAAGTGCAGCTGCGCTTCCCTTCCGATCTGCTAGCTGTTGGTTTCCGGCGGTGGGGGTTGTCAAACTCTGTCGTCTGCTGAGCCTGGGATTGTGCTTGCAGAAGAGGGCTCCTTTGGACTGTGCCTGTGGGTCAGTCTCAAACAGGACGGGACCAGGGAAGCCCTGGATTCCTCACAGTCCTGTAGTTCACCAGCGTAGCGTTGCGTCACTCAGGACCCCAGCTTCCCCTTCTGAGTGGTGGCACATTAGCCCGTTAAAGAATTTTTGTCCCTTTGACTGATAGCCTGAGGAAACCAACTTTGGTACTAGGAGCATCTCTGGACCCACTCATAAATGCCCTCGGCAGATCCAGGCTTCACGTTTAATTAGCTTGTCTGACGCAGGGGGGAAGGAGGGGGACCCTCTCCACCGCTTATCTCCTGAGTACACTGTGAAGGCCCTCCTTCCCCCCCTTATCCCTGCCATCTACGGCAGGCACACCCTGGCTTTATGTAGGGCTGGGGATCACACCCAGGGCTCTGTGCATGCTCAGCAAACATCTACCAGTTGAACACATCCCCAGCCCGACACTATATCATTTTTGTTTGTTCGTTTGGGTTTTTGTACTCCTTTTCATAGTGATAAAAACTCATCTCTCCCCCCCTCGCGATTTCTGAGGGTCTAGTGAGACTAACACTTAGGGCAATGAATATCAGGTCTACACTAATGGGGCCACCCTGGTCCCTTTTGTCACGGTGAGTGGTGACACAGAAAAATAATGCAAAACTACCCAGTCTGATTCTGAGCTGCGGAAAATCGTCAGCCTTGTCGGCAGCCATTACTTAGATGCAGGGTGCCGGGAACTTGGAGCCTCCTTGTCATCTTACAGAGGGTGGACTCTGTCTGAAACTTAGACTTCCCATCCCCCTTGGAATTAGTCCCTGTCACATGGATTTTAGGTTCTTACCAATACGTGTAGGCGGCTGAATTCTGTATCCCCACATCTGGTTGCAGTCCTTGTTCTGAGACTCTCCCGACTCAATGTTGTGTTAACTCTGCTCCCCAATTATCCCCTGATATGCCAGTAAAGCCACTTACAGCCAATTAATGAGCAAGGGAGAGAATAGGGCTAAGCTCCTGCCAGCCAGGGGAGGAGGAGGGAGAAGAGAATGTAGGGGATTCAGCGATGGGAGATGTCCAAGAGACATCAGAAGGAGGCATCAGAGGTTTAATCCAGAAGGAGACATGGAGCAGGGAAGCTATAAAATGCAAGTATCACTGTGATGTAAACTGGGAAGAAACCATATTAGCTTAGGGGGTTAAGAATGGAGTAACTGCTCAGTTATTATGTTATAAAGCTTATTATTAAACAAATATAAAAGAGTCTTAATTGTTTGTGTGATAACCAGGTTAAGAGAAAACTGAGAAAAAAAAACCCACAGTTTTGTGAAAACACCTCCTCTTTCTTATTCCATGGCTGGTGATTGGGTGAGTGTGTTTTGATCTGTCATGTCTTCTTCCTATGGTGTGCTGCCTTGCAACCAGCCCAGGAGAGACAGAGCCAATCAGTGACAGAATAATCCTTTCTTTGTATGAGTTCATTATCTTGGGTATTTGTTGTAGTGACAGAAAGCAGACCAGCTGTTGGTTTGTCAGCCTGCCACTAACTAAAGTCATCGAGGGAGAAGGAACCTCAGGTGAGAAAATGCCTCCATCAGATTGTTTTGTGGGGACATTTTTCTTGATTTATGATTGATATGGGATGCCCCTGCCCACTGTGGGTGGTGCCAGCCCTGGGCAGGTGGTCCTGTGCTGCACTGAAAGCAAACCCAGCAAACCATGAGAAGCAAGCTGGTAAGCAGCATTCTTCTGTGACCTCAGATTCCGCTGCTACCTCCAGGCTCCTGCCTTCATGATGGACTGTATCGGGATGTGTAGTCAAATAAACCCTTTCTTCTCCATGTTGCTCTTGGTCAGGACTTTTATCGGAACAACAGAAAGCGAACTAGAAAGCACACGTGGATGGTATGTGTTTTAAATATGCTCTCCCTGTCCAGTTCACTAGTCTTAGCTCTGGCTGTGGCCCTGCAGAGAGTCTTGGCTCCTTAATATTAACAACTTGAAATTGTTGAACAGAGAAAAGTCCCTTAAGGGGAAAATAGTTCTGTATGTAGAAGACAATTCCTGGAATAGACTTTGAGTCAGTGTTCTCTTGCTGTGAAAAGACACCGTGATCACAGCAACTCTTATAAAGGAAAGCATTTAATTGGGGCTGGCTTACAGTTTCAGAGGTTTAATCCATTAATGTCATGGTGGGAAGCATGATGACATGCCAGCAGATTCCATACAGGAGAGGAAGCTGAGAGTTCTACATCCACATCAGCAGGCAGCAGGAAGAGAGAGTGACACTGGGCCTGGCTTAAGCATTCCGTCAAACCGTGTGTTAATTTTCAATTGTTTCAGCTTTTCAAATTTTCTTTCTGTTGTTGATCCATAATTTAAATTGATTGTGATCGCAGAGAATACTTCACATGCTTTCCATCCCTTTATTCCTCAAGATCATGTGCAGCATGACCTGTAGTCTGTGGAAATATTTCATGTGCTCTTAACCAGAACGATGGTCTCTGCCTACTAGGTGGGGAGTTCTGTTTATGCTGAGCAGGGTGACTTTTTTGATAGTCTGTTCAAATTTTGTTAGTTTTATGACGAATAATCTTACTACTTATTTACACAAGGCTTTGAAGCCCACAACTGCAGTTATTGAAGTGTGTATTTCTCCCTTTACTTGACAGCTTTGGTTGCATGACTATGAGGCTGCAAGATGTATTTTTACCTTAGAGAGATGCCTAGGTTGTTTCTTCTTTGACCATAGCCAGTTGTGTTTATTGACAGTGTATAAATTAGTTATTTTCTGTTGCTGTGGTAAAACACTTTGACCACTCAGGATGTTAACTGATTAATTTATTGATGAATTAATTAAAATACTTTGACATTAACTAATTAAAATACTTTGACTTATAGTTGTTACATCTTTCTGGTATATTGACTCTTTCCATTATTATGAAATTAACTATTCTGGTTCTAAAAAAATCTTTGTAGTACAGTCTATTTTGTGTTATGGTAACACAGATGTTAGAGATTTTAGAGATACCAGAATAAACTGAATGACTTAGGACAATAGAACTTTATTGTCTCACAGTTCTGGCTATAGAAGCTGGCAGCAAAGCCACAATTCCTCCCAAGCCTTCTCTACCTCTTCTTAGCACCTGGTGGCTCTCAAGAGCCCATGGAGTGAACACATCTCATGGTCGATACATCCATCAGTCCTTCCATGTCTCTGTCCAAATTCCGCTCTTACAAGGTTATCTTACTGAATGGGGTTCTGATAGGACCTCCTCTTCACTTGCTTACCTCACCAGAAATAGCTAAATTAGTTGCCCGTCTCCAAATAACACTGCATACACAGGTTTCTAGCGAACATAAGTTTGAGAGAAACATCATCCAATCCAGTACAACACTCTACTGTAGTGACAATTTTGAAACTCTGGTTTCTTTAAAAAACACATTAATATTATAAGAATATGTTTTCGTTTTGATTCCAGGTGTGTAGATATGGCCTGCTTTGAAGCAGTTGACTATGATTTGCCTCATGCTCTGGTGCGAGTGTGATTTTGCCAGCTGCAGATAGTTTCTGCAATTGTGCGATGCTTGGAATTCGGGGAACTTTTCAGACGTGTGTAAATGCTAGGGCCCTGAGAGAGTGGGCAGGTTATTGGTTGTTTGTTGGTTGCTGTTGGTCGCTGTTTGTTAAGTAGTGATGCACGAAGAAGAAATTAGATATCGTGACAGTGAAGATCATACTTGTCCCAAGAAGCTCAATGCCCCTAATCAGCAGGAAGTAGTCTAATGATAATGCTGCCCCCTTTCCAGGGATCGCTGGATCGCTTATTCAGGGATTGATTTCCTTTCCTCTCACATATAACGTTAAGGGGTTGAAAGGGCAAAAAAGGTAGAGAAGGGTGGAAGAAAGGAGAACCCACAAGGTAGTCAAATGCTGGCTGCATTCCACCCCTGATTACTTCTTGCAAAGAACACCTTTTCGCATCATTTTATCTTTCACCTGTTAACCATGTGTCTGTGTTGTCTGTGTGTGTTCATAGGAGTGATGCATGTTCATACATTCTTAGATGGAGGGCAGGGGTCAGCACTGGGTGTTTTCAAACATTTGCCACCTTTTTTTTTTTTTGTTAGAGACTCATGAAACCTGGAGCTCACTGAATAGACTTCCCAGTGAACACCAAGAATCCAACTCTCTCCTCTTCAGTGCTGAGGTTACAAATGCACTACTGCACCAGATTTTTTTTAATTTTTTGTTTTTAGGCCTATTTTATGTGTATGCGTCTTTTTTCTGCCTGTATATGTGTG